CTCCGAAACTATTGTCTCTGTGTTTAATGAGAGAACCGGATGGTCTCTCGGACGGTTGTATTCTCGTATCCTTGGAACGCTGTTGCCAGTAAACAGAAAACGTGGGAGCGTGGGAATTCTGGTAAGGGAAACTGACCACCTTACAACGAAGATCGTGCAGATCGCGAGATAAACTGCACATCTATTTCTGTTCAATTTCGTATTCGATTGATAACACGGATACGAGAGGAGCGTGTCGCGATAGGAAAAGCAGAGGACACATCGCTGTCCTCGGAGATTTCAATATTCTTTGTCACGTTGGTGGCACGATAATGACAAGGAAACGACGCCGCGTTCTTAGGCAGCCGGATTGTTCGGACATCACGACATCGTTCATCATTTTCATACCGCACTTCCGTTCTCTCCTCGTCCAATTACTCCGCGCGCACGGTGGTGGCGTAGGATGAAAAAATTTCTCGAAGAACCACGATGCACAGTCGGCTTTAAAAGGGACAAGAAAGAGGACAGAGAGGGAGAAAAAAGAAGAGAAGACGAAGACGAAATAAAAGGGACCCCGTTCCCCGACGAAAGGACAGTTTGGCATTACGTTCGAGGGGCGCGTAAGAGGCACGTATTATCCCATAAGACGACCAGACGTGGACGATCGAGCGCGCGCACGGACACCATAGCTCGCGTTACACGTTTTCGGTCGGGGTCTGGCCTCGGCTGTCCGTCCGTCCGTCCGTGTGTCCCTGGCAGGACCAGTACGTAATTTTAGGCCCACCTATACACCGGGCGATCTCCACACGAGTAATTTATTATGTGGCGCGGCCAGAGCATATGTCTCATTTGCATATAGCGTGATACAGAAAACGCGAGCCAACACTTCCGACGGCGGCGGCCAATATACGAAACAGTTCGACAAAGGGACGTCCTCATCGCCTCTTCTCTCTTTTCTTTTTTTTTCTTTCTTTCTTTCTTTCTTTCTTTTTTCATCGTGGTGTACGTGATACCACCGCGATCGAGTCGATCCGCGACGATGATGATCCGTACACAGAGAGCCGTGTTGGAAGAGAAGGTGTGGGTTAGAAGCTCTTTGAAGCTTCTTAACTCTTGACACTGGTACCATTGGGCCATTGGAAACCACACTTCAAGATTTATTTCATCGCTGCGAGTGTAAATTACAAAATAAAAACAAAGTCCTATACTTTAGCAATCTAAAACGAATTGCTGAGCAAACTTGTGAGCCAACTGCGATTCTCCTTTAAGATGAAAAGTTTTTATTCGATGTTTTTTTTTTTTTTTTTTCTTATACATTTGCAGTTTGATAATATTTGATAATAACGTAACCTCTGAAAGTTCAGAGTTTATCTCGCGAAATAGAAATTATCTTGAACCACTAGCGTTTCGATCGCTAGTATTGTCGACACGACAACATATCGGATGATATCGACACACCATGTGTGAAACGTGCACGATTGATTCTCGCGAGAGCGTTAATTTATCTAGAAATCTGGCAACTCAACGTTCGATAACGAATCATGTTCTGACGGAGATCTCTAGTTGGAAATCGCAGGCGATTTATGCCCCGGCGGCGATCGTGTGGGTTTTATCAATTTTATATTTCGTTGTGGAAATGCCACTTTTTAGCGGCAAGGGCGTCTTCGGATCGCGGCGAAGAAGAGAGAAAGGCGGCAAAGAAGAAGGGGAATGGCTGTGTTCGCCTCGGGCTGCGTGGTATAAAAGCCCTGGTGCGCCTTCGCTTTACGCAATTTATGATACGTTCTTTAAAAGGGCTAACATTAGGCAAAGAGGCAACAGCCACACGGGCCCCGTTACGAGCCGTTCCGTGATTGGCCGCACGCGTATTGAAAACCAGCCGAAATTAACCCAAACTCGTCGAACGGTCGTCGTTCTCGACAGATTTTTTTTTTTTTTTTTATCAACCTCCTTTATACGTACTCGCGTATTCAAACTTCATTTTTCACACGATGTATTTTCGATTTCACGGTATATACTTCTCCTTTCAAATATACACGTAACACAGACTTTCCTAACTGCTGCCATTATAATACGTATAGTTGGAAAAAGCTAAAAGGATGACAATCGTTAGAAAAGGCAATTCTCAGAGTAACTTTCAGTTTAGTCTGTTTCGGCCGATCTGTATCGACAATATACAATTTTTAACGGTAGACGCGAATGTGTTTGGCCCCCAACGCGTGCCTCTTATTTTTACGCGTCTGTCGACGACCCAAGTCTAACTAGAGCCAATCACAGCCGAGTGCCATTTCTTCAGCTTGCAGCAGTACGTATTGCCGATTTCTCACGTTCCGTACCAGGTGCCCGGTGGAATTCGATTATTTCCATTGTCCGACAGGCTGCCGGACAGTCTGCTGGGGGTGGTTGGAGCGTTGGCGCGAGATGGTCCGTGAGAGAGGTTTTTGCCGCGGGAGAACGCGGCGCGATTCGTTCTCTTCTTTAGCCCGTACGCCACCCGGAATACGCATAAAATGCGTTGTTCGCACGAGAGCCGTGGGAGAGGGAGAGGGAGAGAAGAGGCGCAGTAGTGGAGCAGAGAGGCCAGCCAGAGGTTGCCTTCATGGAGAGCGAAGCTCGCTTTGCGGTCTCGGGACCAGAATTACAAATGATATCGAATCGAATCGCTCGTAATATTATTCGATACGTGTTCCATTACTGGCCAACTCTGGGCCTCGGGATTCAAATTAGATTACCGCCAGGTTAGGTATTCCCGATCATACGTACCCTCTGGTGTCCTGCTACGTTCCACGCCGTATCGTTCGACGCGTACCAGTACATTTCGCCCGATATCTATAGAAATTTATACGTACTGTAACTACGTTCGTACGTAGTTTTGCAGACCGTGCGTGTATATACATACATACATACATACATACATACATACATACATACATA